TTGAAACACTGTCACCTGCATTGTCCACTGTCAACACACAGACTTGCAGAATCCATCTTCAGCTTTGACTCTGAAAGACTGTTAAATGTGGTCAGATGGGACCAGGACTTGTTGACTGTATATATATATCTATATATCTTTGTCAGATGGGTAATTGCAGTGGATAAACCTGTTTTAATGCATTACGGTTTTAACGGCACAGAGAGTGCAGAAGTCCATAATACTGGTTTAACTTTTGGTTTTATTTATTGGGTTTGTAGGTTATTTTTAAAGCACTATGTCAAATCTAGGTTGGATGCAGTGGAATTGTCTTTAAGGGCAAGGTAATCCTGACAAACAAATCTTTGCATTAATTACTGACAAAGAACATTGGAGGTGGGTGGAGTGGTACTGATAGGGATTTGACCAAGCAGTTGAATTGGTTGTCAATGTTAAGGCTCTGTCAGTTTTAAACTTCACCTTCTATGATACTTTCTGAGGTCAAAGAAACACTTTGGGAATATAGTAACTATGATTGTATAATTTCAGTGAGACTTGCAGTTAATTATTTTGATAATTTCATGTTGGTGAATGGTGACTGGATTGTTTTACAGAACTTTAATGAGCATTCAGTCATACTTATGCTTTTCAATACAGCATATTTATACATATTTTCCATTACTCAGCTCAACATACATATACTTGCGGGATATATATAGGTGGGCCGAGACGTCATCAGGTTTTTCTGTGTCAAACCATATTTGGAAGTTCAACCTCCTAAAAGGAAGGCCATTTATGACCATTAAATCCAAAATGCACGACTTCCTTTTCTTTTAGGGCAGAGATTTCCAAAGTGAGCTGCCTCTAGGGGGTGCGCAACAGGAAAAATGGTGGGGTAATAGTGTAATAACTACAACAATTTTTAAAATAATTAATAAAAAGAGAGGGGGGAGTTTTGAAATGTTTTTTTTTTTGTCATGAAAATGACAAGCATTTTCCCTCTCAAGTCGGTTACAAACTGCAGTCAGGTCGAGACCCCGATGAGGACGACGAGCATGCAGATGAGCTTCCCTGAGACGGTTCCTGACAGTTTGTGCAGAAATTCTTTGGTTATGCAAACCGATTGTTGCAGCAGCTGTCCGGGTGGCTGGTCCTGGGCTGGTGTGGTTACACATGGTCTGCGGTTGTGAGGCCGGTTGGATGTACTGACAAATTCTCTGAAACGCCTTTGGAGACGGCTTATAATAGAGAAATGAACATTCAATTCACAGGCAACAGCTCTGGTGGACATTCCTGCAGTCAGCATGCCATCTGCACGCTCCATCAATACTTGTGACATCTGTGGCATCGTGCTGTGTGATGGAACTACACATTTTGATGTGGCCTTTTATTGTGGCCAGCCCAAGACACACCTGTGCAATCCCCATGCTGTCTGATCAACATCTTGATATGCCACACCTGTGAGGTGGATGGATTATCTTGGCAAAGGAGAAGTGCTCACTAACACAGATTCTGACAGATTCATGAACAATATTTGAGAGAAACAGGCCTTTTGTGCACATAGAGAAAGTCTTAGAGCTTTGAGTTCAGCTCATGATGAATGGGGGCAAAAACAAAAGGGTTGCCTTTATAATATTATTCAGTGTATATAAGCAAACTTAGAGAGAAGGGGGTTTGGGGGTGAATCCACCAGGTCAAGATGTAGAAGGGGGTGCGCTGCCTAAAATGTTTTAGAGCATCGCTCCAAGAACCTTTTTTTACGTCTGGAAATGATGTATGTGCCACAGGAACTTCATACATTGCAGCAAAACGTGCAGTGGGAGCTGCTCTTTAGGGGGCGCTAGCATTCCATTTTGCCACACGCAAGTGCAAGACCCACCTCTGACCTGACATTTCAGTTTGGAGAGTTTTCAAGCACCTTTAGGCCAAAGAAAAAGACAGACACGTTTTGTGGTCCGGCCCTAATAATTATACATTTAGATTTAAATTAAAATAAAGAATATATGTGGAAAAAAGGAAGGCTGGATGTGCAGAAGATCTACATTTTAATACCACTGGATCAGAGGGTTACTATAAATAGAGATTGTGGGAGTAGTTCTGGTCAGCTGGAATCACGTTAAAACAACTAACTGGCGAAACACTGATTTTCGACACCACACCACATTGAACACAAACTCAAAGTTAGCACAATTTTTCATGATCAATGCCTTTAGATTGCACTGCAAAAATTTGAAGAAGATCCAATTAATTCTTTAGGAGTTTGTTAAAGTACAAAGTGCGTAAATCGCCAAAAATAACTATTAAATCCAAAATGGCTGCCTGTTGGGTTTAGGAAATTGGCTCAGAGAAACACTTTTGTACTTCTGAACATGATACATGTGCCACAGAAATATTGTACATTTCAGTGAAATGTGCCGCTCTTTTGGGGGCTCTAGTGAGCAATTTTGCCATGCCCAAGCGCAAGACACGTATGACACGTTGATTTTTGCTGTGCAGAGACCATGTTCCGAGCTGCGAGCGCAAGACTCTGGCAAGATGAGAGGAGGTGGAGTCTGTTTCCCAAATGTCAGACTGTTTATTGTGAAGATGAAACTTTCATATTATCATCTGGTTGCTGCTGTTTACATTCACCCCAGCAAATTCAAAAATGCACAAAATGAATTTTTTACTTACAAATTTAATGTCGTTATGCAGCCATGTGCCGTATAATTACTAATAAACAACCTTGTACCTTGTACATTTATATGTGGTAAAAAGGGAACAGTTGCATATGGTGTCTGTATGTACATGTATGTTACTTTATATGTTAATGTCTAAATATCTATTGTCTAAATGTTGGAACCTGTATCAAAAAGCTGTACTGGAAACAAATTCCACCAGCCTGGTTGTGTGGTCATTAAATAAATCATATGCACAGGATCTACATTTTAAAGCCACACCACTGGATCAGAGTAAATAGAGGTTGTGAAAGTGCTGTCCAGGTGGAACACCGAGGGGACATTGGCTTTTTCACCAGACCAAAGTAACAAATGAAATGTCTGAATAAATAAACACTGCTCACAGAGTTTGTTTCAGTAAAACAGCTTTTGGTTCCTGCAGCAGCTGCTGAGCACAGGTACTTCTTCTTCTACATAATCAAAGTAATAATACATCTACTTAAGTTTTTTAATTGTATAAATGTTACTCATAGCCATTTTCGTACAAATTGTCAAATTTCATACAGAAGCGTCCAAATAACAAAAAGACAGATGCAAGATGTTTGATTCAACTTCAGTATTATATATTTTTTTTATACCATAGAACTACACAACCACTACTCTATCCTACTTTACAATAATGTGCTGAATGAGCTTTATTTTATAATATTTATTTATATTATCTTACATTATATAGATATCAAATTTATTCATTCAAAACAAACAGTACATTCCAAATATTGTGTATTGCATGTACATTACTGTGTCACTGAGACAACAGTTTTCCTTTTAGCTAGATGGAACCACAAACTTTGTTTTAGTAATGTCCTCACTAAGAAAAAATAAATGGATAAAGTCTTTTGTTGTCTTTTTTTTAAACTAATATTTTTAGTCTACCAGTTTTTTAAATACTGTACTTTATAGTGCTTTACCAAACGGCTGAGAAGCTGCTTCATGGTAAAAGTATATTTTAAAGCAAAATATAATTAAAAAAATACAAAATCTTTACAGAAATAAATTAAAAACCATGTGCTGTTATAATGTTAGTAATATAGTAATAATGTCTTAGTATACCAACATATTTCTATTTAGTCTCCATATTTAATGGTGAAATACTGTATATACTGATTTTTATGTTTTATTTAATGTAATACTATACTATACTATATGACATTAACAACAGTGAATGAAGTTTTTTATTTATTAAAAAAATTACATTTATTATCTTAGCATCACTACTTTTACCAGAAAAGGGCAACTTAACTATTTTGGTCGAGCAGGTTTTTGTGTTAAATTATTTCAGCATATATCATTAAATGTATGATGGTCACAACAATGAATGGTCAGAAGTAAATAGTCTATTTTTATTCCATTAAGCGTTTGGTAGAGTGTTTTTAGAAAATGATTTAACCATTATTAGACAAATGTTTGTTGTATTAAGTTACATTCTGTAAAGTAAGAACTACAATATGTTGAAAATTATGCTTACGTTTCAAAATTCCACCAGAGTCCTCGTGTCTGAAGTGACATTGTTGTTTCTAACTACCTGTAGAGAGGCGAACTGAAAGGGCGTGCTACTTAAAGACACAGCGATATCTAGTGGACTTTTTTTAAGGGTTAACCCTTTGATATATGTATCATCGCTCTATTCATAAAGTATTATAAATGATATTGAAATTACAATAAACATTTTTAAACTTTTAGCTCAGTTTAAGCAGTTCCATTCAGGATCCCACATTGTATGATTCCATACATTTTCTTTTAGACTGCACTGAATTTGCAGGAACCATATTTTATTATATATATTTCATTATTGTTGATCAAACACTGTGACAGCGGTTTCGGTCCAGGTGGAACCATCAAGGGGACATGGATTTTCCAAATCAAACAAGTTCTGAAAACTGAAAATTGGGATTAAATCATCATGATGCAGAAATGGATGCATTTTTACACAGATCTGATTTAATTTGTCCAGGGATGGAGGAAATACTCAAATGAACAAAATAACTTTAACTAGCATGTTTTTTTGCTCCCAGCTTCACGTGGACTAAAATATATCTAAACAAGGTATTCAGGTAGTTCATTTATCATTATACTACACAAGGTTATATTAAGAAAAGGTTTGTAGTCACAGAACTTTCTCTCTCATAAATGAGACCATTGTAAGTCTATGGGCCGTGCTAACTTTGCTTTCTCTGTGACCTGCAGCTTTCCAAATTAACCAGATTTTACATGATTCATCATTTCAGACGCTTTGAGTCTCTCTGGCTCTGCAACATTTAGAAGGTTATTTCATGCCTTAAATTTCTGTTGCGTGTTTTGCAGTCATGGCGTTCCCTCGGCTGCCTGCCCCGATGCTGTTGGTTTCATTCATCCTTCTTCTCTACTGGACGACCTCCTCAGCAGGGTCACATGACCCCACCTCAGCTGATCTGTCTCCGCCCTACAGGGTGAAGAGAGACCTGAAAGACCCGCTCACGGTAGTCAAAGAAGTTATTGGAAAGATTGACTCCAGTAGGTTGTCATCTATGATGAAGTCCCTCGCCAACTTTGCCAGCCTGGCGCCCGGCATCAGAGCTCTGGTGTTCTCAACAGAGCCTTAACCTTCACCCCTCAGGAAGACGCTCAGAAGGAGCTGTTTGCTGAGGTCAACAGGAAGCTGGACTCTCTCTCCATCCAGATCTCCAACCTGGCAACAGACGTGGAGTGGTTCAACTACGCCAGCGTCTACTCTCAAGACGAGGTCCGCATCCTCACTGCCTGGAACAAGTTCAATGAGTTTCGTAAGAACAGCGCGTTGGTAGATAATGAGGAGGCCAAAGTCCGGCTGGCAAAAGTTTTCACCAGCTACTATGAGAACACAGCCACTGAGGCCAGTGTGGCCAACCTCTACCTTTACCTGACGGTCAGCAGCACGTCTCTCAGCGGAAACCTCAACGAGCTGCTGAAGAAGAAGTTTAAATGCGGCATTCCTGAGATCGGCAAATATAACCTCTATTTCAGCAGCTTGCTGTGGAAGGGGATGGTCCTCAACCAGGTCTACTGGAACCTGATCGGCTTAAATCCATCAGGCAAAGAAGAAGAGCACACCCAGATGTTCAAGAACGTGTACAGAGCTCAGATATCAGCTGTGTGGTTCTGCCTGGACAACTATAAGCAGTACATGATAAAGGATGTGGAGGAGATCAGCAAAGCAAACAGTCCTGACAACAAACAAAACATCGCTGTTCAGGTGAAGAATAAACTGGATCAGAAGTACAACTGGTACAAATGGGTGGTGCTGGTTTACAACTCATCCCATCTCCACAGGCAACGTCACTTTTGCTGTGGGCTACACTCTGAAAGGAGACAAGACACAGAGCGTAAATTTGAAGCGTATTGTCTACCTATGCTTTGAAGATATACAATGTGAGGGAGGTCCACTGAAATTACCAGAATGTTATTCAACATTTTTATTTCCGTATCTCACAGACAAAGTGACTCGTGCCACCAATGGGCAAGACGTTGCTGAGACCCGACCACCTGCTAAATGTAATTGGTTTTACAGTAACAGTGCGATTGTCAAGTATCTCTCCAAAGTATTGTTTGTCTGCAATTATGACCCATGTGAGAACGGTGGAACGTGCAGGAGGCTGCTGGACTCCAACGAACGGCTGTGCGAGTGCCAAGATGGTTACTATGGAGACACATGTGAGGCCAGAATCAACGGACAATAGCAAGACCCCAAGATCAATATCCTTCCATCAGTTGGGTTCACAGAAAGCTCGGACTCATTTGAAAATAAATAAGTAAATAAGTAAATAAACACTTCGATAAATTAGATATTTATAATCAATTTCAAATCCAGGAACAAGACATAAGGTTTTGACTTACAAAATCAACTTGAGCTTCATTCTGAGAGTTCTGCTGTTTTTATTGTTTCTGTTTGACTCTGAAGATAAAAGTTTCAGCAGGTCAGCAGGAGAAATACTCACATGTGGATCAGTGTTGTGAACGGCCTCAAGCAAACCCAGCGGTGTGGGATCAGAAAGTGTCTGTGAAGTTGCACAACATGTTAGATTAGATTCAACTTTATTGTCACTGGTTACAAAGCAACGACAGGCAGATAGCATCCAACCTGAAGTGCTAAGCAGGAATTAAATAATAAATGCCACATTATTATACAAAGTGAAGGTGAATGAATGTCCCGTAGGAACATTTAAATGTGTAACGTCATTCAAAGACAACAGCACCATGACATCAGCAGCATTTCTGTGTTCACTTGAGGAAGGTTACAGCCTCCTCATCGCTCCACACAGCTGCAGCTTTCAGCTCTTTCAGGCTCTGCTTCATGTGCGTTTATTCACCAAGGCTGATTCTGGTTTCACTCCTCACAACTCCCAGCAACAACTCCCAGCAACAACTCCCAGCGTCAACTCCCAGCGTCAACTCCCAGCAACAACTCCCAGCAACAACTCCCAGCAACAACTCCCAGCAACAACTCCCAGCAACAACTCCCAGCGTCAACTCCCAGCAACAACTCCCAGCAACAACTCCCAGCAACAACTCCCAGCAACAACTCCCAGCAATAACTCCCAGCGTCAACTCCCAGCAACAACTCCCAGCAACAACTCCCAGCAACAACTCCCAGCAACAACTCCCAGCAACAACTCCCAGCGTCATCTCCCAGCAACTACATGAACCTAAACACCTTTTTATATAGCTACAGTCACAAAACAAAGCACAGCGTACAAGACATCAGGCTTACTTCTTCCAAGTAACTGTTGTAATGTAAATATGTCCTTTAGTGAGTCTTCTGAAATAAAGATTCCAATCCAGACGTCTTTTAAGGGTTTTATGCTTTACGCAGCTATCCAGGAGAGGAAGGGAGTCGGGACCAGCTGTCCTGAGATGAAGGCCTATCAAGGACAGTCTGATAAGAAAACTCTCTAACGAGCATCTTTCCCATGGAAAACTTCACCCAGCTGTAACATAATAAAATAATCAAACACCACACAGTGAAACACTCCTGCTGCTGCAACAGTGGCGTATGATCATTTGAGAATGTACACATGTATCTATAGCTCCTACAGTCAGACCTCTGACACATCCACAGAGAGCTACAGCAATCATTAGACCTGCTAGTATGGGCATCACTAAGGCCTTTTATTTAGCAAACACAGAATCTGACCAGTCGAACATGTTAGTGTCCACTTCAGAGTTCTCTGCAAGTTCTTCTCGTAGGGAACGCAGTCCTTCCAGCACTCAGTTCACCGAACCATCTGGAGCTGTACTGTTGGGCACAAACATACAACAGGAGTTATTAAACATTAGCCAAGCAGCCCAGCCTCTTTGGGTGCTTCTCTTGCCTCTGACACTGACACTTTTTTAGAGATTGAGATTTGTGTGTAGTTCACTGTGGTGTTTTTGTGGTGGCTTTTGTGCATCATGCTTGTGATCTAAGAACCCCAACAGAGACACTGTTAATGCTACTGAAATGGCAGCAAACATCTGTGTTGTTCCTCGTAGGCTCACACATGCCTGGATGTCTCCTTCCAGAGACAAACATGCTGCTCACTCTTAAGTTCTGAAGGTGTCACTTAAATCAGCTGTGGTGTTGCGCCTTCCTGCAGTGGCTGGCGTGTATCCACGTAGCTCTTTCAGCATCCACAACCACCACAGAACCCCCTGGCTGCAGACTGTGCAGCGGTTGTGTTGCTGGAGAGGGTAGGGCAGGGGCGATTTTAAGCGTTTTGTCCTCTAACGTTAGATTTTGGAGAAGTAAGAGAAAGGACAACCACTTAACGTACAGTTTCATATGGCTTTTCTTACATTAAATGGGTTGAATGTCCCTAAACACTGGCATTTTTCAGTTTCTAATGTTTAATGATCTGCAACCTGTCAGCTGCAGCGGAACGCTGTTTGTGTGTCCGTCAGTCTGGACCAAACTAAAACATTTAATACTTTCGGCACAAGAGGCAGCTGAATGCGCCAAATTAACCAACTGCTTCCTTGGTGAAAAAGTTCCTGTGGCAGGCGCAGATGAGGCAGCTGCAGAAGAAATAGGTGCACAATTAGTAATGCATTTATTATTTACTGAAACTATTTATATGTATATTTAGGCATAAATATTATAAACAACAATGTTATCACTCAAAGACAACATCTTCCTATAAGCGAGACGTTTGTGTGTATATTAGCTGTCAGGTCAGTGGAGGTGATGCAGAGGGACAGGGTGAGGATGACCCCAGTCATGCTGATGAGGAGGGAGAGGAGGAGGAGCTGCAGGAGCTGCAGGAGGAGAAGGACAATAGAACCAGACCAAACAGTGACAGGTACAGGGCAGTGTGCAGGGCTGAGTAGGCCGTCATATGTACAGATAAGAATGAGAAAATATATCCTTGTTAGTCACATTTATTACTGATGTTCTTCTCATGAGTCCAGCAGAGGGGAAGCTGAGCCAGAGAGAGGCCTGCTCAGAGCTGAAGATGACAAACACACACACTGCTCTATTTTATAGAACTGTGTTGTAGTTTTTGATTGTATTGAACTATTTTAGCACTCTGGCTGCACACATGACACATGCTGGTAGCAGTATACTGTGACTTGAGTGTTCCAGCTCAGGCTTGCCTGACCTGGTCTTGTTCAGTGCTGTGGTGCCTTCCTTATACAAACTGAAGAGGCAGGTGGCTTCCTAAAGTTTCTTGAAGGTCTTCGGCATAATCTGATTCATTTTATACAGTAAAACACTGTTAGTATTAAAATAACTACAAACTCTCATAAAACTCCATCTCAAAGTCCCGGGCTGAATTTCAATATCAGTACATCCCTGGTAGCGGCATGAACACACCTGTCAACCCTCCCGGTTTGCCCGGGATTCTGCTGTATTTTTAACCTTTCTATTAAAGAAAATATTTTTAAAAACGCTTGCATATTTGAAATGTTTGCTGCGTTCCCCTCTAGTAAACCCATTTTCAGTATGTAACGTTAGAACATTAGCTGTAACAGCAGCAGCAACCAATAAAACAAGCAGAACAGCAGCGCGAGGGGACAAGTTGCCAGGATGGATGATGCAGGGCTCTACAGAGTATACAAGCACAGTGTGCGAGGAAAGACTACAATCTACTGTAACTGTTCAGAATGAATGGTTCTGATTATTGACAAGTATTTACTCAGCATTAATAAATTAGAGGCCAATGTCGACTGTTTTTCTTGCACATGGATTTTATAAATGGAAACATTCCACAAAAATGTAACTACTATAACAGTGGGCAGTGTTGGGATGGTCACTTTGGAAATGTAAGGTTAACGATTACAAGTTACCCTATTTATAATTTTATAGTAGCCTAGTTTGACTATTAATCAAAGTAATTTAACTTATCACATTTCAATACTTTTCTAAATTTCTAATGAATGTTTTTCCAGCTTGAGAGGCAGTTTAACTGGCAGATGGTGCTGCTGCAAATTCAGACATGAGAACCAATTAGAAGCATCAGAACATCAAACTTCACTAAACAGCTGTGGTTGGATCTGGCTTCACTTTCACTTTTAGAAAGCATTTGTTAAAAACTAGCTTGCACCAAATGTTAACTAAAAAATGAAAATGCTTTGAGAAAAGGTTGATTTGCACAATAAGAATTGATGTAATGCAATATAGTTTTCCAATAAAAAAAATAAATTTCCACCATAAATTGGTAAACCCCCACACACATAGATATCTGCATCACATATTTCATCTTAATAGTTTCATCTAAAAACATCTTGTCTTGTTGTCATGCAACATCACGTCTCATGACCCAAATGTCCCATCATTTCCCTAAATCTAAGCCCTTTCTTTCCCACCACTTTAGATCACAAAGTGACGCCCTTGACTCATAATCTGTTCCTTCCTCTTACCAAATTAAAGGTCGCTCGCTGTGACCAGTTTAATGCCTTTGAGCTTTATGTGCCGCATTATGCATTCATGTGTGGGGCTCAGGGAAGATGCAGCACCTGCCGGGTGCAGCCAGAGGGCGTAGCTGGGCTTCGCAGAGAGAGCTGCAGGTCTGAGTGGGTGCTTCTCTAGTGTCACTTGCGTCTTGTCCTTGCGTCTTAGTCCCGCCGATGCTTGGAGGGATGTAATGAAACCACGCGAGAAGAGAAAGAATGACGAAATATGCTTTAGGAGACATGTGACATCCTTTCCTCCGAATGACAGCGACAGCAGGCACGAGCACACATAGACATCAAAAGGGGCTTCAGCACCTTTTTTCTGGGATGCTTTTTTAAAATATAAATGAATAGGCCTATACAGTATATTTATTCCTGTTTGCAACAGATTCTCTGTCAAACAAATATATTTATTGGGGGAAAAAATCTAAATAGGCTAAAGATGAGACTTTGGAGTTCCGATGCCCTCTCTGTCTCTCTCTCTCTCTCTCTCTCTCTCTCTCTGTCTCTCGGTGCATGCTGGGAGTGTTTGGGTGTGTGTGAGGGTTCACACGAGGTGAGGGTGATCGTGTGCTTGTTTCAAACTTTTCTAAATTTTTGTTTCAAGTTTCCTGAGTAAACATTTTGTTGTGA